CGGGGCTCGGGGCTCGCTCTCCGCCCTTCGGCCGGGGCGACTCGACTCGCTTCCGTCGCTGTGGGTGGGCGGGCCCGACCGAGAAGGGTGCAGAGGCGCGAACGTTTCCTGGGCCGAGAAGTCAAGTTCCTGGGCCTTGGCTGCTGTCAGGAGAGAAAAGGACAACGGTCCGTAGTCCTGGAGGTCAAGGACGCCCCCGAGGTGTCCGCGGCCGTTTGGTGCCCGAGCGCCGCGTGGCCGCGCGTTCAGCGGCCCGGGCTGGCGCGGAAGTGACGGACGTCTGGCCGGGAGCGCGGCCGCGGGCGTTCCCGTCGGGGGCAGTCTGGAACGGGGGGCAGTTACAGGGAGAGCCAAGACAACTGTTCCAAGAGAAAGTGTTCATCTCGCTAGGTCTCCGTGCTCGGATTTGAGGCCCTTTTTTTTCCCTTTGAGCTGGAGTCTCACTCGCCCCCCAGGCTGGAGTGCAGCGGCCGCTCCCGGCCACCCCGCCTCGACCTGCTGGGCTCGGGCGGCCCTTACACCCCAGCCTTCCCAGGAGCTGGTACATCGGTCTGACTCACATATGCCGTGCTGTCAGGTAATACGTCGATTTACTTTTGTGATTCTGTATATTTCTTTTTTCCAGAGAAGAACAACTTAAAGAATCGAGATGTTGATCCACTTGAGGATATTTGGAATGCATCCTCGGAAAATACCCAGTCTGCACTCTAAGGTAAGCTTTTCTTATAAACCAAGTGTTCTTCAACAGCCTCAGTTACTTTGCTGCCTAAGATGCCTCATCAACTTTTGATTTCCAGCTTCGTTTAGTCATAACCTTGGATATCCTCCAGGCAAGCTAATTTAAAGGAATTAACAAGAAATATAAGGGATTACCTTAATTTTAACAAACTGACGTAGCTAAATGCTGGTTTTATGGAGCACTAAAATGCCAGTTGATTTTGAAGGAGGGGCTCGATATCGCTTCTAAGAATAACAGCACTTAATGCACACCTTTCAACTACTAACAAAATATGGTCTGTATTCTTTTTTTTTTTTTGAGTTGGAGTCTCACTCTGTCGCCCAGACTGGAGTGCAGTGGCCGCTCCCGGCCACCGCAGCCTCGACCTGCTGGACTCCAGTGATCCTTCCGACTCAGCCTTCCAAGTAGCTGGAATTACAGGCATGCGCTACCATGCCCGGCTGATTTTTTTGATTTATTGTAGAGATGAGGTCTCGCTGCCCAGGCGGGTCTCGAACCCGCGGGCTCAGGCAATCCACTCACCCCAGCCTCCCAAAGGCGCGGGATTACAGGCTGAGCCACCGAGCCCGGCTGGTCTGTATTCTTATACCCAGGTTGAGACTGGTGTGAAATTAAATTCTTCTTAAATTAACATCAAGATGTAACATTTCATTGTACGATGGTTGACATAATAAAACTACTTTGACTTTCTTCTGCAGAGCTGTTGGAAGCCAGCTTCTTGGACAGTCCAGTATTTGTGTCATATTTCAGGAATGTTGGCTTAGTCTTTCGGTTCTGGTCTGACTTCCAGAACACTATAAATTATTTTGTGAACTGTCACATCTTCAGCATACTTTAGAGATACTAATTTTCACTTGGAATCATGACCTGTTGTAGTCATCTACAGCTAAGTGAGACTACTTTTAAGTTTGCCTGAGTCATTTCTTTTTATCTTCAGCAGAGACTTACTCAGTCTCCATTTATCCACTGTTTGAGTTGCCACAGTCAACCATGGTCCGAAAATATTAAATAGAAGAGTCCAGAAATAAACAATTTATCAGTTGTAACTTGTATACCATTCTGAGTAGCATGATGAAATCATGCACTATCCCACTTTACCCTACCCTGGATGTGAATTACTCCTTTGTCCAGTGTATCAACATTGCATACTCTACCCTTCCTTGAGTCAGTAGCCGTCTTGGTTATCACATGCACTTGTTGCAGTATAGCAGTGCTTGTGTTCAAGTAACCCTCATTTTACTTAATAATGACCAGAGAGTGCAAGGGTAGTGATGCTGACAATTCAGATATGCCGAAGAGAAGCCATAAAATGCTTCCTTTAAGTGAAAAGTTGAAAGCTCTTGACTTTAAAAAAGCTGTATGCTGAGATTGTTTAGCTCTTCAGTAAGAATGAATCTTCTCTCCGTAAAATTGCCAAGAAGGAAAAGGAAATTTCTGCTGGTTTTGCTGTCCCACTTCATACTGCAAACGTTACAGTCACAGTGTGTGATGAGTGCTTAGTTATGATAGAAAAGGCATTAAGTTTGTGGGTCGAGCACTCTATGAAACACTCGGATTGACAGCAGTCAGCTTTGATACTATTCGAGGTTTCAGGCATCTACTGGGGGTCTTGGCTACAGGGTGACGATTGTGTTGGAGTACCTGTAATCCCGAGGAAGCACACTAACTATATCATTAGTCTAAAAATTTATTTTTGTTAAAGTCACCTGTGCAGCATTTTGAAGATCACCTATTTTTATATTCCATTTTTAATGTCATTAAGTGGCTCAAGGAGTTACACAGTTTTCTTCCATGTTTTAATCAATGACATTTTCAGACTATGCACCCTGTGATTGGTAGATGCTGGACTTCTTATCTTACTGATCTTCTGAAATATTTTCTTAGTGTATTATTGCCAGAAACTTGGTAACTAATGTAGAAATAATATAGAGGGCACAGGCATGCATTCCATGATACAAAAAGCAGATTGTGGTAGCCCAGGTCATGACATACACTAACAGTTCCAAATATATTAAATGTATAGTGGTTTAGGGATTAATTGGGATGGATGATATTCAACCTCTGCATGGAAACGTGAGGAGAAGGTAAGGGAAACAGAGTGGAGGTGGACTTGGCCTTAAGTAGACCTGCTTTAACTCTGATTCTCAGTTGTAATGCTACATTGGAGACACCTGGGGACCTGTAGCTCCCCAAAACTCTCCTTCCTCTACCCCCGTGTTTGTGTTTGTTTTTTGAGTCGGTCTTTTGAGTTGGAGTTCAGTGGCATGATCATGACAACCATGGCTCGTGGCAACCTCGACCTCCTGGACTCAGATGATCCTTCCACCTCAGCATCCCAAGGATCTAGGCCTGGCTCAGTTTTTTAGTAAAGATGAGAGTTTACTCTGTTGCACAGGCTGGTCTTGAACTCCTGGGCTCAAGCAACCTACCCGCCTCATCCTCCCAAAGTGTTGAGATTACAGGCGTGAGCCGCCACACCTGGCTCACCCCCCCCATAGTTTTAAGATGCTTTCCAGGTGATTCTAATACGTAATAACTATAATCCTGAAAACAGCTAAGGCTTTAGAGTTCATGATCCCCACAAGCACTTAGCAGCTGTGGAGAAGATCGAAGGCATGTCCAGGTGAATAAGATTTCTTATTTAACTATTCTCCTCTCAGGTTTCTGACTTTCTAAACTAGCTGTCAGAATCACTGGAGGGCTAGATAAAGCAGATTGCTGAGTAGCCCCCTCCCCAAGAGTATCTGATTCTCTTGACTGGAGTGGGGCATAAGAATTTGTATTTCAAACAAGTTCTCACCCCTACTGATGCCGCTGGTCAGCTCAAAATAGCAAATCACTATTAATTTGTCCCTTATTCTTTCCTATAGGATAAATTTTTGTTGCCACTTTGAAAAAGAATTGGAGTTAATAAATTGGGATCCTTTATGAATATGCACAATATTTTATTTTCTAGCAAAGCATCATTATAATGTTAAAACTACTAAAATAAGTGATACTAAAGTACAAATAATGTTGTTGTTTTCCCCTTGCTAGAATGTATGCTCCTGTAAAGTAAGAGCACTTATAAGGAGATTAAAACCACCGGTGCCTCTTGGAAGAAATTACAGCTCCCCACCAGGTATACATGCTGGAGTCTTCTCATTTTCTCTAAACTGCTCGCTGTATTTTTTTCCCTTTATCTTTTCCTTTCTTTTGTTTGCAAGAGTCTGCCCTATTATGGATCTCCAACCTTTTACCTCTGGCTGTTTCCCTGAGACCCTTGGGGATGGGAGCATTCCGGTGGGGGGGGGGGGGGATGAAAACCAGTAGAGCTGTGCTCCTCCTCATCAGCTGGACATACTGGTGAGCTGAGAAAGAGGAAGGTTGGCAGCTTTCGGGGCTTGTTCAGCATGTAGGTCTGCCTGTAGAGTGCCCTTTTGGTAAAGTATTTATTTTCCAGTTCGTTTCTGGTTTTTGTGCAAGTGTTTTCTGAAAAATCATTCTGGCTTACTAGAATGATTTTTTCTTTTTTTTAGTTTTAAAGATGTGGGTTATAATTCAGGGTTATGTATACAAATGTTCATTATGCAGAATAATTTTTTCATTATTGAAGAATCTTTAAAATAAAAAGTAGTTTGGTTAAATATTTATCTGGGCTAGCTTAGGATAGATACATGGTTGTCAAAGACTGGTGGAAGGCTGAGGAGCTTACTAATTCTGAATGTCTTTTCTGTGTTTGAGGTAAGCATGGGATAGACTATGAAACTAGTTTAACCCTTTGCACTTGGAAACATCTCATGGATCACCTACCAGCAACTTGACCATACTTTTTATTATGAAATACTGAAAAACGAATCACTTCCTATTAAGTAGTATAGCATTGGAGCCAATTTTTTAATAGTAATGATATTTAGCTTATAATGGAATTTTGGACATTCAGCTTATTTATGACAAAAAAAATTTTAAATCTTCTATTTTTCTTTTCTTTTTTTTTTTTTTTTTTTTTGAGTTGGAGTCTCATTCTGTCGCCCAGACTGGAGTGCAGTGGCCGCTTCCGGCCACCACAGCCTCGACCTGCTGGGCTCCGGCGATCCTTCCGCCTCAGCCTTCCAAGTAGCTGGAATTACAGGCGCGCGCTACCATGCCCGGCTAATTTTTTGATTTATTGTAGAGATGAGGTCTCGCCAAGTTGCCCAGGTGAGTCTCAAACCCGTGGGCTCAGGCCATCCACTCACCTCAGCCTCTCAAAGCGCGAGATTACAGGCTGAGCCACCGAGTCCGGGTATTCTTCTATTTTTCTAACGTGGTAATGTGTGAAACAGCCACTGACATGCCATTTCCACGTTTGTGTTTTTCTATTTGAGCAGACAATGCAGTATTGTTTTGTTTCTCCCACATTTTTTTTTATTGTCTAATCTGTTGTGTGAAGATGATGTTGAAAGACGCACTCATGATTCTTGAAAATCACTTCTCAACTGATGAGTCCTACAGTACAGTCTGCCTTCAACTTCGAAAGTCTCTTTCTTTTAAGACTATAGTAACTTGCTTATCTTTTTAAGTTGTGCTGTATGATACAAAGGGTATACCCACATCTGTCTTTCTTATACAAACGCTGTTTACTGCTACCTTTTGTTACAGAGAAGTGTTGGCACCACTGTAAAAGCACTTCACACATTCTCTTTGTAGGTAGCACCAGCTGATATTTTTTTGGTTTATCCGTATACATTTCATCTCTTTCTTTACTTTTTTGTGCAATTTGAATGGAAAACTTCAACAAAATATACATTTTTGAAAAATTTGCGTTGGTATAAGTTTGTCCTGTATAATCACCAGCAATCTCTTTATGTCTCCTAAGAGGGAACATCCGAGTGTTTTGCTAGATTTATTATGTCCCCTCAGAGAGGACATCTGAGTACAAAGGGCTACCTCTGAGAAGAATAATAATAGGGTAGAAATACTGTTTGGCAGTTGATGTAGGGCATGTGAATTAATGGGGCTACATTTTTGGTACATTTCTAGATTTCTATATTTTGCCCATGTGAATTTAACTATAGTAGTATGGATTATTTTTTGATCTTCAAATTGCCATGAGACTTTAAAAATAATATAAAACTCATTTTGCTATAGTGACATGGGAGAACTGGTTAGCAAGAAGGTATAAATTAAATTTACAAATGTAACTACAATGTTGCTTTAATATTGCTGATTAATAAAATATATGGTAAATGTGGAGTAAGTTATTGTGGACTTTTTAATTTAAGAAATACTATTTGGTCTTTTAGAAGTAGTAGATTATCATAGATTCTGTTCAGTGATTGCTCAGTCCATCTTTAAAGGTATTGTGTCTTGGGATTGCTGAAGAAGGTAGGTTACAAATTGTACAAAAATTCATTATCAGCTAATATGGGGATCACTCTTAGTTCTTCAAGCCTGGGAAGAAGCAGGTTTGCAGGATTTTGCATCTAAATTTTTTTTAGTTCAGGATCTACTATAATGTTTTAAGATCATTATAAACATTAATTCTAATTCTATGATTTTGTAAATAGAAGTGATGTAGGTGGCAGAGATTGGGGTAAATCTGTATTTTTCTAAGGAAATTATCTAAATTATTTATGGTCGTCCATAGCTTTTTCCTTATAGACTGTAAGAAAATAAATTTTAGATAAATGAGTTTTATTTAGCATGAATTTTACTTTTTTTAGAATTACGGTATTTGCTTAAAATTATTTTAAATTCCTTCATTTATAAATTAAAGGAAATTTTCATAAATTTAATAGTTCAATTTTAACCTTTTTTTCATTAGGCTTAATAGGAAATGATATCAAATCCCTCCATTCCATCATCAATCCTCCCATAGCTAAGTAAGTACTATCTTTAACATCTTTTTTCCCCCACAGGCTACCGTGAAAATGTACTAGTTCTCTCTGATGAGCATTAATAGGGAATGCTATAATTTCTGTGACTTTGCGCTCTAGCTAATTATACATAGATGTTGACCTTTTTTTCTTTCTGAGTTGGAGTCTCACTGTGTCACCCAGGCTGGAGTGCAGTAGCATGCTCATGGCCACTGCAGCCTTGATCTGCTAGGCTCAGGCGATCCTTCTGCCTCAGCCTTCCAAGTAGTTGGAGCTACAGGCACACACCACCATGCCCAGCTGATTTTTTGATATATTGGAGAGGTAAGGTCTTGCCATGTTGCCCGGGCTGATCTCAAACTCATGGGCTTAGGCAATCCTCTCATCTTGGCCTCCCAAAATGCTGGGATTATAGGAGTGAGCCACCGTGCCCTGCCTCAGCCTTCCAAGTAGCTGGAACTACAGGTATGCACCACCATGCCCAGCTAATTTTTTGATTTATTGTAGACATGAGGTCTCATCAAGTTGCTCAGGCTGGTCTTGAACCCGTGGGCTCAGGCAATCCTCTCATCTTGGCCTCCCAAAGTGCTGGGATTATAGGCGTGAGCCACCATGCCTGGCCTGATATGTAACTTAAATACTATTTTCTTTTCTTGGTTTAAGGCTAAAGATTTTTAATGTACCAATAGCACATTTTTCAAAGAAATGAATACAGGGTATTTTCAAGGTTATAGTTAGCCTTTTTGTTTCTTTCCTATTTTGTCAGAATTATGTGATAGGATATGCTCTAAATATTTTTCATTTTTCTAGTTTTTACACAGCTACAAATTATAGAAATACTGACCAGCTTTAAAATTTTCACAGCATAGATATTTTTGTTTTACAATTTTAGTAATGTCCACTTAATAATGCAATTTTTTCCTTTTAAACAGAATCCGTAATATTGGCATTATGGCTCATATTGATGCAGGCAAAACTACCACGACAGAAAGAATATTGTACTATTCTGGATACACAAGATCACTAGGAGGTTAGACTGGATTCCTCCTCTCCCCACCCCCACCCCCGCCCCCTTTAGCAAAAACATCATTGGAAACTATTTTGATTAAGAAGTCAACCTAGCCGGGCTCGGTGGCTCAGCCTGTAATCCCGTGCCTTTGGGAGGCTGAGGTGAGTTCAAGACCCGCCTGGGCAGCAAGACCTCATCTCTACAATAAATCAAAAAATCAGCCGGGCGTGGTAGTGCACGCCTGTAGTTCCAGCTACTTGGAAGGCTGAGGCAGAAGGATCGCCGGCGCCGGAGCCCAGCTGGTTGAGGCTGCAGTGGCCGGGAGCAGCCACTGCACTCCAGTCTGGGCGACAGAGTGAGACTCCAACTCAAAAAAAAAAAAAAGAAGACAACCTAGACCCCTTGAGTATGGCATGGAGGCTCTGATGTCTAACTCGAAACATAAAGATAAGATAGTTGCAACACCCACGAAAGGGAAATTTAACTAACTATTCAGACCCACAAGACCTTCTTGGTCCCCATTTGGCACTGGTCTACTCAGAAGGCTGTCATATAAGAACTATAGCTGACCAAGAGACCAGCATTAGGTGCTTCTTTCTTCTGGAGTCCTTGTAGCAGTGCACATGGCTATCTGGGCGCTGTCTTCTTTGGCCACACAGAAGTGATAGATAGGTGCAAGGTGACACTTCACAGGAGCCACCCTGGCTTAGAAGTCATGCCCTATAGGAATGACTATCTCGTGTTACAGCTCCTAAGCACAGCTTCCAGGTCCATGTACGGGATGTGCCATACTCAGGGCAGCCCAGTTATATAGCTCCATTTCATTTCTTTTTCTTCTTTTTATCAGCCAGAAGTTATTTTTTTCATAAGTGTGTTGCCTAGGAGCACAGTTGACATACCTCTGTTATGTGGTTTCTAGAAGAAAAGAACTGCAAAGTTAACCAGAGATCTAATTCTTATGTAGAAGAGGAAAGGACTTCATTAATTCTTAACCAGGTTATTTAAAATTTTTTTTTAAAGTGTGAAAAAGAGTGTGTTTTAAGCGTGGCAAAATTTGCCATCTTAACCATTTTCAAGTATACAGTTCATAGGTGTAAGGATATTCACTTGATTGTGCAACCAATCTCCAAAACTTTTTTATCTTGCAAAATTGAAACTATACATTAAACAACTCCTGATTCCCCTCTCCCTCCAGCCCCTGGCAACCACCGTTCTACTTTTTCCTTCTATGGCTTTGACTGCTGTAGGTACCTCATATAAGTAGAATCATAAGTATTTGTCTTTTTGTGACTGGGTTATTTCACTTGGCACAATATCCTCCAGGTTCATCTATGTTGTAGCATGTGTCAGGGTACCCTTTCTAAGGCTGAATAGTATTCCATGTGTGTTTATATAAGTTGTCTTTTGAAGTCTTTTTCTAGTTAAGGCCATAGCCTAAAATCTGTCCAAGTTGTGGCAAAACTTGCTGATCCAAGGTTAATTTTATCAGTCATATGAGTAATCATAAAGAAGTAATATGAAATAAAGATCTTTATCATAGTGAAACATCTTGTTATATATTAGTATTTATAAAACTTACTGCCTCATTTAGAACTTTTGATTAGTTATTTGGTCTTTGTGTCTTTTTTTTTTTTTTGAGTCGGAGTCTCACTCTGTCACCCAGACTGGAGTGCAGCGGCCGCTCCCGGCAGCCTTGACCCGCTGGACTCCGGCGATCCTTCCGCCTCAGCCTTCCAAGTAGCCGGAATTACAGGCGCGCACTACCACGCCCGGCTGATTTTTTGATTAATTGTAGAGATGGGGTCTCGAGCCCGCGGATTCAGGCAATTCACTCACCTCAGCCTCCCAAAGGCGCTGGATTACAGGCTGAGCCACCAAGCCCGGCTCTTTGTGTCTTTAATATTTATTTTTTTTGGTAGTGATGTGAGTAACTGATACCATTAGCACAATTCATAAATATTAATACAGATACTTGGAGTTACTGTCAAATATGTTTTTCTTGCTATTTCTCCCTTTAATGATAATTAGATTGTGTGTGTGTATGCATATTTATATACACACACAAATGGGGTAACTAGCTACCCTTTTAGAGATTTAATGCTAACATAAGTGGTAGTATAAGTCCATGATATCTCAGTCTCTTGAATTTTGAATGATAAAACTCTATTGCTTTTCATTTATTTTGCTGTCGATAAATTTAATTAGAATAAAATTCAAGAATTTTACTGCAGGGTAATTTGAATCAAATTTTTGGTTGTAAGGATAAAGTTTTATTGTGACTTTATATATAGTGTAGAAGTTCTGAGACCTTTTTTGCATTTGTACAGGAAGATAAATGCCCTTTCTTTAGAAAATTTACCAATGAGATGGATAATTTAACTTTGGATGAATTGTTTTCTCTACCTCATTCCTATGTAGCTACCATTTATCATCTCCTGAATGCTAAATCGTGTGTACCTTACATATATCATCTCATTTTCTCTCTAGCAAGGATGACTTTGTTAGCCTTATCTTATAAACTAGGTTGACTAAGTTGCTCAAGATCATAGAGTGGCAAGCGGTGAAGTTGAAATTTAAATTTAGGCCTGTCTATGCTCCTTCACTGAACTACTCTGCCTCCTAAAAGGGATCAAGAGGGACAACATGTAAGAGGGGACAATGAAAGTCAAGCTATGGGGAAAGAATGAAAGAAATATATGGTTCAGTAAAATGAAAAGACCCTCCTCTTAATTTTTTTTGGGGGGGGGTTGGAGTCTCACTTTGTTGCCCAGATTGGAGTGCAGTGGCACGCTGATGGCCACCGCAGTGTTGACCTGCTGGGCTCTGGCAGTCCTTCTGCCTCAGCCTTCCAAGTAGCCAGAACTACAGGCGCGGGCTACCATGCCCAGCTAATTTTTTATTTATCTTAGAGATGAGGTCTCGCCAAGTTGCCTGGGCTGGTCCCGAACCCATGAGCTCAGGCAATCCACTCGCCTCGGCCTCCTAAAGTGCTGGGATTACAGACTGTGCCACTGAACCCAGCCTCGTCTTAGTTGTTAAATTATTTTTGTGGCAGAATTACTAATCTTCCTGAAAAACCTTTTCTAGAATGAGAATTTACTTAAAGATTAAAGACTCTATTAAACCAAATATTTTAGGAAAATATTTTTCTTAAAGCAAATTAAGTACCAGTAAAATACACTTGCTATTAAGACTATACTGTGTCATCTTTCCTGGTTAGATGTTGATGATGGAGACACAGTGACAGATTTCATGGCTCAAGAGCGTGAAAGAGGCATTACTATTCAATCAGCTGCTGTTACATTTGATTGGAAGGGGTATAGAGTCAATCTGATTGACACACCAGGTATGGTACTATTCCCACAATACAGAGATGCTGCATCATGTGGAGTTTTTTGTGGGGGCTTTTTTTTATTGTGGTAAAAAGCGTATAATAAAATTTACCATTGTAACCATTTTTAAGTGTACAGTTTAGTAGTGTTAAGTGTAATCACATTGCTGTGAAACAAATCTCCAGAACTTTTTTCATCTTGCAGAACTGAAATTCTGTGTCCATTAGACAACAGCTCACTTTTGACCCCTCTCTCCACCCCTGGCAACCACCATTCTACTTTATGCATCTGTGATTTTGACGACTTGAGACGCCTTCTGTAGATGGCGTCATGCAGGGTTCGTCCTCTGGTGACGGGTCCCTTGCACGTAGCATGGAGCCCTCAAGGGTCATCCATATGGTGGCGTGTGGCAAGGTTCCCTTCCCTCTGAATGCTGTGTTGTGTGCTCCTCTGTGTGTGCACCACATTTTGTGTATTCATTCATACGTCAGTGGACTTTTGGGCTACTATGAACACAGATGTGGAAATATCTCTTCAAGACCCTCCTTTCAATACTTTTGGGTATATATCCAGAAGCAGGATTGCTGGATTATATTTCATTTTTGTTTTTTGAAAGGTTTAAAGCATTATATTTATTACCTTTTCCTTAGGTCATGTGGACTTTACCTTGGAGGTTGAACGCTGTCTAAGAGTGTTGGATGGTGCGGTAGCTGTGTTTGATGCCTCTGCTGGTGTAGAGGTAAAAAATATTGACAAAGTAAAGTGAAGATAGAACAGCATGATTTATAAAGAGGTAGAATTAGTCAGGTTTAGTTAACTATAACCCTTTATTTTGTAATGTCATGTAAATCAAATTATGGTCAAAGGAAGTTGAAATTTAATATGAGATGTCATCTATATGTGACTGCAGATATTCCATAGTAAAAGGAAAAGAAAATTAGCTTTTCGGTGGGAAGTATGAAAGTTAGTGTTAAGAACTGTGAAGCCTGCAGGTTAACCTGCCATAGTTTCATGGATTCTGGCAGAAGACAAGACTCCTGGATCAGAGACAAAGGACTTTATTAGTCATGGAATCAGCATGTTCTTGTGCTGATTCCCCAAGTCTCAGTTTCCACAGAATGGCATAAAGGGTGGTGACACATAAAATCAGTCTTGAGATTATAAATTGAAGGTGGTACCAGCTACAAAGAGGGCCTAACTTAACCCCATTAGCAATGCATTATTTGTTATAAATCCATTTCTAAAATTTATTCAAGAACCCTTGAATGGGTGACAGCTGTACATGCAGAGGGTTGAGGGGAGTCCTGTGCATTGCGAATGAAAATATTTTTTAATGAGCCGTAAGCTTGCCTGCCTTTTGCTATGGAGGGAGATGTTACCTTCCAGGGTTGCAAACAAGCCTGCCTTTTGCTCCAGGGGGAAGCATCTTATTGTTCAAACCTGTTTATTATACAAACATCATTGAAAAGATGGTCCAGAACAAACGGTAGTCAGTGGGTCTCCTAGTAAAATATGGAAATGTGAGAGATCCGTGATGAATTATCTCCCATCAATTACTGTAAGGGTTCTTGAATAAATTTTGGAAATAGATTTATAACAGTGCATTGTTAATGGAGTTAGTTGTGCCCTCTTTGTAGCTTGTCCCCCCTTCATTTTGTAATCTCAAGATTGGCTTTATGTTGAACATAGAACGCACATTAGTTCTTCTAACTTCAAAATTACTAAAAGCAGAATTATCTTAAATGATCAAAATGAACATCCCCAAAATGGGATGAGTTGACAAAATGGGCCTCTGCCCTGAGACATGGTTTTATGTGTTATGTTCCTGGCCAACATGTTTCTCCCGGATCTCATCATGGGAAAATAATCTAAATGAAAAGGCATTCTGCTGGGAAAAAAAAAAAACTGGCCAGAATTTTTTAGAAATTGAAAAAATTTTAAATTAATTTAAGTCTCATGAGTGATTGAGGAGAAAAAACTGGAGAACTCTTCTAGACTAAAGGATTCTAAAGAGACAAGAACATAAATGGAATATGTGATTCTTGGTTGGATCCTGGATCAAAAAAAAAAAAAAGTTGGCCAGGCTAGGTGGCTCAGCCTGTAACCCCAGCACTTTGGGAGGCTAGGCTTGTGGACTACCTGAGCCAGTGGCTTCAAGACCAGCCTGGCCAAATCGCCAAGACCTTGTCTCTACAATAAACCAAAAATTAACTGGGCGTGGTAGCATGCACCTGTAGCTCCGGCTACTTGCAAGGCTGAGGCAGAAGGATCACCATATGCTAAGGATCACTGTAGATTTGAAAGAAAGTCGACGCTGGGGTGGCTGTCAGCGTGCCCTTGCACTGCAGCCTGGGTGACAGAGTGAGACTCCAACTCAAAAAAAAAAAAAAGTTGCGAAAGACACTATTGGAAAAATCAGGGAAGTTTGAATATGGACTGTATGTATTCTGTAAAAGTATTGCCAACTTAAAATTTTCTCCATGTGGTCATTACCGTTGGTTATTTGGGAGAAGGTTTTATTCTTAGCAAATGCATGCTGAAATATTTAAGGTTAAAGTGCACAATATCTGCAACTTGCTCTGCTCGTACAGCCCCATCTACTTGCACACCTGGTGTTGGTTTAGGGCCTTTGTAGACGCGTGGGAGATCATTGGGGGAAGTGTCTGTGAAGAACACAAGAGAAGAGGGCGTTCGGACCCCAGTGCAGGTCTGACGCCAGCGAAGGAGGCAGACAGGAGGACTAGGAAGGAGCAGCCTCAGACGGCAGCCTAGGTCCAGAAGAGGTTTGGTCAGGCCAGTGGGGAGTCCTTGAGCCAGAATTACCTCTTAGAGGGATCCTGTATCTTGCAGGAATTAGGCCTGTATTAACAGCTCTGCTGTGCTTGATCAGTAGCAGGCTACAGGTCACAGAAAGCTGGGTCCTGGCAAGAACATGGTGGTCGATCCAGAGGGCAGCATTTGGGCCATCAGTTAATTATCCTCCTCATAGTAGGAGATGAGTGGTCCAGTCACACAGCTGCCGTGCACATCATGTGCACACGTTGGTAGAGAAAGAAAAAAAGCAAATGTGGCAAAATGTTAACATTTGAGAAATCTAGGTGAAGAGTATACATGGGTATTTATAATGCTTATCTTTCAACTCTTCTATGGATTTGAAATTTTTCAAAATGAAAAATTGGGAAATAGTACAATTACTGGAAGCCTGACACGAGGGTCCCTAACACTGAGGCCTGAGATTGATATACACACTGTTATTTGTTTATTTCTGGGTCACTTTATTTCCTAATGGTTTCATCCTTTCTGTAATTATAACTTCTTTACATAAATTTGACACTTCATCATTGACAGATGGCATTACTTACAAGACTGAAATACTCTGAAATACATTGACTTTTAGCTAGGAAATGGGGTGATGGGAATTTTTTTGCTTATTTGTTTTGATTTTTAATATGTTCTTCTTCTTGGAGAATGTATAATATATCCCTTCCACACCTCACCATATGCTAAAATTAATCTGGAGAGAATCATAGTATTAAGCTAAATCTGTATAGCTTCTAGAAGAAAAATAAAATATCTTCACAATCTTGAGGTAGGTAACAATGTCTTAAAGAGGACATAAGATGCATAAAAAAAGAAAAGTTGATTCACTGAGCCTTATCAAAATTACATCTGTTCATAAGAAAGGGATTGGCAGTAGTGGGACACTGCTGGGGGATAGGGAACCTAACCCTCATTTGTACCCCACATTTTAAAAATAAAATAATTAAAAAATAAATAAATAAATAAAACAAGGCCAGGTTCAGTGGCTCATCCAGGGTGAGTGGATTGCCTCAACCCGCGGGTTCCATACCAGTCCAGGCAACTTGGCGAGACCTCATCTCTACAATAAATCAAAAAATTAGCTGGGCATGGTAGTGTGCACCTGTAGTTCTGGCTACTTGGAAGGCTGAGGCAGAAGGATCACCAGAGCCCAGCAGGTCGATGCTGAGGTGACTGTGAGTGTGCCAGTGCACTCCAGCCTGACCGACAGAGTGAGACTCCAACTCAAAAAATAAAATAAAATAAAACAAAACAAAAGGCAAGCCACGGACTACATTAGATAAAAGTAATATACAAATATTAAATTTCCTGAATGCTGTATAGTATTGGTTATATAGGAGAATAATGTTGTTCTTCGGAAAATCTATGCAGAAATATTTACAGTACATATATATATAACCAAGGACTTGTATCCAGAATATATGAAGGACTATAAATCAGTAATAAAAACAAACAACCCAGTAAAAAATAGACAAAAGACTTGAATAGACTCTTTACAAAAGAGCACATGTGAATGACCAGTAAGCACAAAAAAGATGCACAGTCTCATTAGTCACTAGGAAAAGGCAAATTTTTTTTGTTTTTTGAGTCAGGGTCTCACTCTGTTGCCCAGGCTGGAGTGCAGTGGCACAACCCCAGCTCACAGTATCCTTGACCTCCTGGGCTCAAGCGATCCTTCCACCTCAGCTTCTCAATAACTGGGACTATAGGTGCATGCCACGACACTTGGCTAATTTAAAAATTTTTTTTGTAGAGACAAGGTCTCACTTTGTTGCCCAGGCTGGTCTTAAACTTCTAGACCCAAATGATTCTCCTGCCTTGGCCTCCCAAAGTGCTGGGGTGATAGACGTGAACCACCACTCCTGGCTGAAAATGCATATTAAAATTCACGAAGAAATTCCATTTCACACCCACAAGAATGACTACAATTAAAAAGAGTGATACTATTGTTGGTAAGGATGTGGAGCTACTGGGATTCACATGTTGTTGGTAAGACTGTAAAATGATACAACCACTTTGGAAGGCTATTTGGCAGTTTCGTATAACGTTAACTATATACCTGCCCTGAAACCTAGCAGTTCTACTCCTATGTCTGTCCAAGGGAATGAAAACGTTGGTCATACCTGCATAATGAACATTTGTATACCTAAAATGGAAAAAAAAAAAGTTTGTCCACCAAAGACTTACTTGGAATGCTTATAGCAGCACAATTCATAACAACCTCAAACTAGAAACAATCCAAGTGCACATATAAGGGTGCATAGAAAAACAAACTAGTATATTTATACAAAGCATTGTGGCAGTAAAATTAAAAAAAGAAAAAGATGAACTCTTATACCAAGCAACGTGGATGGATGTCAGAAACATTATGTTGAACCAAAGAAGACGTGCTATTTATGAGGTTGAAGAATAGGTAGAATAAATATATCGTGACAGAAATCAGAACAATTATTTGTGGGATTGGGAATGAGAAAAATTTCTAGAGTGATAGAGTATTCTATATCTTGATTGGGATAATAGTTACACAAATTTATACTTTTATCAAAACTCATTGAGCTATAAACTTAAGATCTATATTTCATTGTATACAAATGTACTTAAAAAAACAAATAATGAACTTGCTTCTGCTGTAACTAGTGTCGGCTTTGCTTTAGGGTTTTGAGACTCTACTAGGCACAGATATTATAGACTCAAACAATATATTTATTTAATATATGCAAAAAATGAAATTAAAATTGCAAATAGAGAAGCATATGAGAATTTCAACTTATAAATACAGGTATTGGTTTCTTTTCCCCCCCTTAAATCCTCTTTAGTTTACACAAACATCAGATATTCACAATAAAATATTGTTTTAATCGTAATAGCATTTTTAGAGTATACTTCTATTTGTTCCTTTTACCTCACAGTGTGTCTGAATTAAGGCAAAAGTTCCTATTTCACAGATCAGAAAACTACATTAATTGAGTTCAGTGTACATACATTAGAAAAGGTGAAGCCAATCAAAAGATAGGTCTTTAATTCTCAGTTAAGTCCTCTTTCCATAACTCTTAGTACCTCCCAGGTGTTAATTCTCTTTGTGTGGCAACCCAAAGTAGTATTCTCAGTTTGAAGCAAAATCTTTGTCACATTTTCTCACATTCCCTGCTGGGTTAACCTTAACAAAGGAGTGACCCTAGAAGTCTAAGTGCAGCGGCATTAATGATGTGCTAGAATAGTGCCCAATTTCATGATACAGTAGATTCTTGGATCTGTTCATTCCATGTCTTGTAGCAGACTTACTTTTATCCCACATAGATATTGTTCCTCATCTTTGCTTTAGGCTCAAACTCTCACAGTATGGAGGCAAGCTGATAAGCACAAGATACCTCGAATCTGTTTTTTAAACAAGATGGACAAAACTGGAGCAAGGTATGTAAAATGCTTCTTGGGCTTATCAAGGTGAGAATCCAGTTTGAGCTTTTAATGTTCTGTAACTTAAATTCAAAAGTAGTTCATCTTTTCTACAGGGTATACATAGTCTATGAAATCCAACTTATTCCCATTAAAAAATAACTTCACAGCAGCTTATCCATATGCTAAGTAACAATTTGGGATTAAGAGAGACCTGATAGATGGTGAATCATCTTGTGTCCAGTGTAGAGAGGCTGAATCATATTTCCAGAATCTTGACATAGTGGTATCTTGCTGATTCCACTGGTTCTCTTTGGAACGGTATAGGATAGTTCCCGTATTGCTGAAGGTTATGGTGTTCTCCATCATTGCTAACGGTAGATAGTAGAGAATTGTTTCCTGAAGTTGCTTCAGAGAAAGCTGTTCTTCCTTGTTTCCTGATACTCTTTAGCCATTGAGTTATACGCTCACATTAAAAGGGAACTGGCGTAGGAGAATGTAATGCTGTAAGACCTTGATATAGGGAAGAAAAGAGTCAGTGCTGAGGTGTAGTGACATGCTCAGAGACTTATAGAGCGGATACTTTGTTCCGAGGACATAATTCAGGGAATTAAGAATACATAAAGGATTCGGAGAAAATGTGGAAAGAAGAGAATCAAGAATATAAAGTATTCTGGAAGAAATATGATAGGGAGAGATACTGTCTGTGGTGGGAGAGTGGCAAAAACAAAACATAAATTATACTTCCCCTAAAACTGCACAGTAGCGTGCTTTGTGTTTATGTAACTCTACAGTAATTCTGACTGTTGGTCTAAAGAACTCTTGTCTTGATTAGTAATGCCAGGACAACCTTTAAAATGTGCTGGGCTCAGGTTCTGGCCCTTTTCTGTTTAGAATTTCTGGTGGCATTTACTGACGAACAATGCCTGTGGTGATGACTGGACATTAGGCTAGTTCTCAGAACACTGGACTCAGAATGACCTTCATGTATGTGTAAGTCAGCACATGTGCCAAAGATGGCGTGTGCGCCAGAGACAGCCAACCCAGTATTAGCCTAGAAATGAATAGCATAACATGTGATATGAAGAGTGCCTAAGGTAAAAAAGCATAGCAAAATTGGTCGGCAGACTCTGGGAAGAAAGTGGGTAGCCTTGTGTGGTAGCAAATCTAGTAGAAGGAAGAATCCATGACTTACATTCACAAATCTTGCATTGAAATCCTAACTACACTTTATTACCTATCGGACCTTGATCAATTCGTTAACCTTAACCTCAAAGTACAGTTATATGAAACTTGCAATAGTACCTTTGTGGCAGGATTAGAGACTTTAAGAGTTTCATATAAATATATTGTCCTTTGGAAACTGTTAAGTGGTGGGCATTAAGGAGAATAAAAGGAGTTAAAATTTTAGAAAACATTCTTAAGCCTCTTTTAAGAATTTTAAACTTTTTTTTAACTGTAATTGAGTTTTTTCTACAGTTTTTAAACTATATTTTAAACTATAATTATTTTCTTTCTACAGTTTTAGCTATGCAGTCGAAAGCATCAAAGAGAAGCTAAAGGCAAAGCCTTTGCTTTTACAGGTAAATGGGTTAATTAATAGATAGCATCAGCTTCTCCTCAGATTCCTCATCAATTTATTGTTTTATGACAATAGATACATTTCTGATGCTATCTCAAATCCTTTTTGAAGAAGTTGGAAGTTGGGGTGTAAATAAAAATAACTGTGGATTATGGTAATAGTAATAATAGACATTTTGGGGAAAGTGGTACGCTTATCAATATAGCGTAAATGAGTGATCATTTAATAATGTTACTCTCACTCTGACTTATAGTTGCCAGTTGGTGAAGCCAGAACTTTCAAAGGAGTGGTGGATGTCGTAAGTAAAGAAAAACTACTGTGGACTCTCAACTCAGATGACGGAAAAGACTTTGAGAGGAAACCCCTGTTGGAAACGAGTGATCCTGAATTGCTGAAGGAGACATCTGAAGCAAGGAATGCCTTAATTGAACAAGTAAGATCCATACTTTTCTGTTTCAAATTATATAAACATTCAGAAACTTGTAAAAATATTTATTTTGAGGCTGGATGTGGTGGCTTTCACCTATAGTCCCAGCACTTTCGGAGTCCAAGTCAGGAGGATTGCTTGGGACCAGCCTAGGCAATATGGTGAGACCGTGTCCTTACAAAAAATCAAGAAGTTAGCCAGGCGCGGCGGAGCATGCCATAGGCCCAGCTACTTGGGAGGCTGAGGTGGAAGGAGTGCCCGAGCCCAGGAGGTCGAGGCTGATGAGCTGCGATTGTGCCACTGCCTCCAGCCTGGGCAAGAGTGAAGCCTCTACTCAGATACACACACACCCCTAACACAGTACAAATGCTATGGAAATCGTTGTTGTACCATATTTAGGAGATAATAACAAGAATGAAAAGTTGGGTATATTCAGCACATATGCAGTTTAATTTTCAGGAATAGCTTTGATCCACAGTTTGCTGAATCTGTGGATGTGGAGCCCATGGTTATGGAGGAATGATCGTATTAGCAATACCCTTGAATTTTTATGTGCAGTTCCTGTTCATATCTCTCTTCTTCCACTGTCATCTACCTGGCCCCATAATCGATATATTATTTTAGTATTTATATTTTGTTCTTTTAGTATTTATATTTCGCTCTTCTTTGTAGCTTACATTAATTTATGTATCCCTAAAGAACTTAGTTTTGTATGTTTTGAATTTTGCATAAATGGAATGGCACTGTTTGTATTTTATTGCATTTTTAATGCTATGTTGGAGATTCATCCATGTTGTTTTGTGTGGTTATAGTTTATTCACTTCAGTGTTTTATCGTGTTCTATACTGTATATGTGATCATACCAGTATTTACTGTCTGTACTCCTGTGGATGGACTTTTTTAGTTATTTCTCTTTTTTGCTGTTATAATAATGTTGCTGTATTTCTTTAGGGTTAAACTTAGGAGTAGAACTGCTGGGCCAAAGGATATGCATGTCTTTTACTTTACCAGATGTCAAACTATTTAGAAAAATTTAAAACCATCAGTCTTAGAGTTGGTATATAGCTCTGGACTCCATCAGCCCTCAACATTTTAATAGAAAATAGCAAGATTGTTGATATCTGTATTATATTGTTAGTATGTAGGGCATTAAATAAAACATAAAACTCCCTGAATATTTTGGTAGAGAAAAACATTTGAGTCTGAGCCCTCTGATTTTTTACTTCTAAGTGGAATTGAGCCAAATAAATTCTGTCAACATTAATTGTTTTTTCACCTTGTCTTTTGTATCTAGTTATTTTTGAAGTACAGTCATGTGCCTCATAACAACATTTTGATCAGTAACAGACCAGAAATATGGTGATCCCATAAGATTTTAATACCATATTTTTACCTTTTCTCTATCTAGATATACAAATACTCTCCATTGTGTTATAGTTGCCTGCAAGATAGTAACTTGCTATAGGGATCTGTAACCTAGGAGCAATATGCTGCATGACATGGCCTGGGGTGTGGTAGGCTGTACCATCTAGGTTTGTGTAAGTACAGACTATGACGTTTACACAGTGACAAAGTAGCCTAATGGCGCATTTCTCAGAACTTATCTCTGTCATTAAGTGACGTATAACTGTTTAATCATCAGTTTTATCTTTAACATAATAATTGTTATTTTTGAGTTATTAAAGGCCTACCGTGTGCTCAGTTAAGTGCTTTAGATATTTATTTTTTAAAAATGTATTTATTTTAAAGATGTGGAGTACAATTCAGGATTAGGTAGATAAGTGGTCCTTTTATAGGTAAACTTTGGATCTCCCTTGGTCCCCACTTTGCCTGGTTTGGGATCACGTACCCTTATATATATACATTTGAACTTAATCCTCACAATAACCTTATATTGGCCCCATTTTGCAGGTGAGGAAACAGAGACTCAAGTGCTTAAATAAGTGGTTGCACAGCTAATCAAGTGGCAGAGTTGGAATCTAAAACCAGGTCTCTCTCAGTTTAAAGCTAGAGCTCTTGCCTACTTGGCTGTGCTGCTTTTTAAATTTAGAGGAGCATAAAAGAATAAAAAGTGGAATTGACATTTATTAATCATAATTGAGTACATAATTGGTTCCTTTTTAAGGTTTTTTTGTATTACTTTGTCTTAATACAAAAGAGCTATAGAATAAACTCAAGAAGTATCTTATAATCTGCTCATATATCCCATAGTCTTCTAGGATGTGACAGTATGTGATAGAAATAAAATTTGAGACTGTCAGTGGCTAGTAATAGGGTGCAAGTTATAAGAAATATGTAAGTATGTGTAAAATTTACAGATTCAGGCTACTTCATAGCCATTAGAATGCCTCCTCTCAAAAAACCAAGAAAATAGGTGATACAAGGATGTGGAGAAATTATAACCCTTGTGCACGGAATGTGCACAAGGGGGAATGTAAATGGTGTAGCCACTAGGGAAAACAGTATGTCAGGTCCTCAAAAAAAAAAATTAAAGATAGAATTACCATTTGACTGAACAATTCCACTTTTGAGTATATGCCCAAAAGAGTGTCTCAGATATTTACACACCCATGTTTATGGCAGCATTATTTGCAGTAGCCAAAAGGTAGAAGCAACTGAAATGTCCATCAACAAAATATGGTACAAGCATACAATGAAATATTATTCTATCTTAGAAAGGAAATTTTGGCACATGCTACAGTGTAAGTTGTTGTTCAGTGAAGTAAGCCAATCAAAAAAATACTGTATGTTCTACTTATGTGAGATATCTAGAGTAGTTAAATTCAGAGACAGGAAGTAGAATGGTAGTTGCCATGGGTTGTGGGAGGGGAGAATGTATTTAATGTCTATGAAGTTTCAGTTTTGCAAGTTGAAGAGAATTCTGGAGATTGCACAACAGTGTGAATGTACTTAACACTACTGAACTGTACACTTAAAAATGGTTAAAGTGGTAAATTTTATGTTATGTGTATTTTACCACAATTTAATTTTTTTAAGTTAGAAAATAAGATTAGTGTGGACTAGAATCAACTTTCTGTGTTCTAAAGGTGAACAGTATAATAATAGCTAATACTTACTGTATACTTACTATATATTCTAAAGTTATAATTTGAATTGGTTATTTAATCTTCACAAAAGCCTCAAGAATAAGTCAGAGAGAGATAAGTAACATGATCCAAGTCTGAACAAGTTAGTAAGTAGTGACTCCAGAAGCTTGGCTTAACCATTACATATATTGCTTTCTAGAAGGATGACTAGGTCATTTCTGCTATACTTAATTCTGTTGAGAAGAGGCTTGCATGTTTTGCACCCTTAGACTGTTACAAACTTTTGAAACTGTTCTGTTGTTCGCTGAATTATCCTATTTCAGATAGACAGATGATTATGAAAAGAACATGAATCAGATAGTTGCATTTTTATTATTGCAATTATGCCTATACTCCCCACCCCACAACTTAAATGTGCTTCTTCAGTGCAGTATTATAGTAATATTTGTTCTTTTAGTTTGACTGTCTTGGGAGATCTGGTGAGCATTCAGAATAGTAGAAGGATATCAATTGAAACTTTTTGTATGAACTAAAACTCCCCAGCTTTTATCTTAAAAACAGCAGTCCATTGTATGTACTATCATTGTCTGTAAATTGTGTGTTTTCTTTCATTTCTTTGGGGCACTCTGAGTAGATAGCACTTTATTGAGATACTTTATCAGGCTCTTGCTTTCTGTGAAATTAAGAAACTCATAATAGGGTATCTGCAGTTTCCTTTCCTTTGAAAGAAAAATGTTTTATCTGTTTAGAAGATGTGAAGAGTTGCTGGGCCTGAATAAGATAGATCATGTAGCTGTCTTGAAATATTTGAATATGGTGAATTTATGGGTGTTTAGTCAAGTTAAGAATTGTGAAAATAATGTGTTACAGAACTCTAAAGCCTTTCTTTATAGGTTGCAGATTTGGATGATGAGTTTGCTGGCTTGGTTTTAGGAGAATTTAGTGAAAATTTTGATTTGCTACCAGCTGAAAAGGTAAATTTTTTTCAATTGCTTTGACAGAATTTTACTAATTGGATGTAGTTTGAGTTCTGTGTCTTTGGTGTGTTTGTTTTTTTAAAATTTTGCATACTTATTAGTTACTACTAATATGGGTACTTAAACAATGGGTACTATTTTCAGATATGCTTTAGAAATTAAAAAATAGAATCTTTTTTATGTAGATTGAGCCAGTATCAGTTAATTACTCATTCTTTGTAGTCTTTTCATTTTGATCATTTTTCTTTAAGGGTTTTTAGGGAACTCACAGGTAGAAAGTTTGTATATAAAATTTAGGTTGCTATAGTTGATCACTTTTCTCAGAAAGTTTTTTTCTGAACTTATTTATTTATCTTTTCTTTTGACACATGTTAAGCCAGAGGAGAGGCCATTAAAATATTGATAGTAAGCCGGGCTCAGTGGCTCAGCCTGTAATCCCGCGCCTTTGGGAGGCTGAGGTGAGTGGATTGCCTAAGCCCGCGGGTTCGAGACCCACGTGGGCAGGCGAGACCTCATCTCTACAATAAAACCAAAAAAATTAGCCGGGCATGGTAGTGGGCGCCTGTAATTCCAGCTACTCGGAAAGCTGAGGCAGAAGGATCGCCAGAGCCCAGCAGGTCAAGGCTCCGGTGGCCAGGAGCGGCCACTGCACTCCAGTCTGGGTGACAGAGTGAGACTCCAACTAAAAAAAAAAAAAAAATACTGATAGTAATTGAATTATGACAGTTTTCTTTAGGGAATATTTCTGCTTTGTTTTGCCAGGGATCTTTCCCCATGAATTTGACAAATATACTGGTTGTTTTTCTTTATGATCTGTAAGAGTCGCCAAGTTAAATGTTTCTAAGTTGTAATCAGTAGAATGGACCAAAGATGACCCCAGCAAATTCACGAAGTTATTTTCTTGAAAAGAGTTAAAAACACAGGAGCTGAAGCATATTTTTGAGTTACTTGAAGTTAGAGGTTAAAAAAAAAAAGTGATTTTTTTTTAATAAAATACCATCATTTTGAAATTTTTTGTTTGTATTTGAATGTTTAACATGATGTTTATTATACCCTGTCATCGTATACCATGATTTCTGTTTTCAAAGAGTTCACAGTCTAAGGTGAAATTGACCTACCAGTTCTCTTATTAATAGCTTACAAACACACTCAAGCTATTTTTAGTTTTTGAGGTGTTTTAACAATCTTTTTTACTTTGATTTCTCATTTTTCTTTGGATTATGTTTAATGTGAATCTAATTCATTTGAAAAAATTATAACTCAGATTTATAAATTTTTAATTCTGACCAGTTCCTCTGCTAGACTATCAAGGTTATATCACAAGTATATTCATTTATTCAAGAACATTTTTGAGCACCTACTATATGTTAAGTAGTTTTCTAGTTTCTGGAGATTTAGAAGTATTTTTATAGAACTTACTGTATATAATGCTCATATGGATTTTACATTCTAGTAAATTGAGAATTGATAATAAACTACTAAATATCTAACATGCCAAGTAGTGATTAGTGTTAAGAAGAAAAATAAAGAAGAAAGCTATAAAGAATGATGGAGGTGTGGTGAGGAATGCTGTTTTACTTGGGTGTTTAGAGTAGGCCTCTAATTCTGAGGTTCTGACAGACACCAGTATACTGCATGCAAAATAAATCCTCACTTATGTCTCTGCTTTATAGCTACAGGCTGCAATACACAGAGTAACACTGGCCCAGACAGCAGTGCCTGTGCTTTGTGGAAGTGCCCTAAAAAACAAAGGTGTACAGCCCTTGTTAGATGCTATTACCATGTACTTACCTTCACCTGAAGAGCGCAACTATGAATTTCTGTAAGTTTGTGATGACATAGATTAAATCCTGTGGCCTTGATGAAACAAGGAGGAAACTGGGAGGCCTTGTTTAATGGAAAGTAGCTAAATCATCACTTTTGAATAACAGTGGTAAATATCACTGCAAGTCATATAAGATAGTACCATGGTAATTTGTACTTGAAAGGGACATTTTTCATCACTTCTTGTAACCTGTTATATTTACAAATGGAGCAAAGACAGTATATCTTTTCACTGTGTAAAGTGTAAGTGTTGACTCTGTCATCTTAGTTATTTTTTTAAAGCGATATCCTGGGGATATTTGTTAAATATTACATATTTCATATTCCTCGAGATTTCAGGGTTTTTCATAAGCTCAAAATATTTTGTGACTATAAAGAAAGGTCAGCCGGGCTCAGCGGCTCAGCCGTTCGTCCCGCGCCTTGGGAGGCCGAGGCGAGTGGACGGCCTGAGCCCGCGGGTTCAAGACCCGCCTGGGCAACTTGGCGAGACCTCATCTCTACAATAAATCAAAAACTAGCTGGACATGGTAGCGCGCGCCTGTAATTCTGGCTACTCGGAAGGCTGAGGCGGAAGGATCGCCGGAGCCCAGCGGGTCGAGGCTGCAGTGGCCGGGAGTGGCCGCTGCCCTCCGGTCTGGGTGATCGAGTGAGACTCTGACTCAAAAAAAAGAATTTTGACTCTGTACACAAGTTCAATACAGATTTTATAATACAGATTTTTACAGTTATACAACTGGACAGAAAGTGGGAGGAGAGATGAAGATAAAAAGTACCTGTTTGTTTACCCTACGCAGATTTCTTGATAGATGGTGTGATGTTCCAGGTGCATTTTTTTTTAAGAGTGAGCTCTTGGCAGTGAAATTATTTGCAAATAAAGGTCATATTTGGAATTATCTTCAGTTCTGAGGAGTTAGTGGTAAGATTTCCATTGAATAATTTAGCTGATGGAGGAAGAGAGTTACAAGGTAGTGACTTTATTGAGTGGCTCTGAGTAGTTCTGCTAGAAGACGTAAGGGATTTTAGGAGAATATTAAGGTTAACTTTCTACAGTGATTCTGATCTAATCTGTAAAGATATGTGGGAAGTGTATTTTATAGGCCTTTCTGGAATGTCTCCTTTATTTTATAGACAGTGGTACAAGGGTGACCTGTGTGCACTGGCGTTTAAAGTTCTCCATGACAAGCAGCGAGGACCACTGGTTTTTATGCGCATTTACTCAGGCACAATAAAACCCCAGTCAGCCATCCATAATATTAATGGAAACTGCACGTAAGTGGAAGCTTAGTTTATTTCCTAAAACAGCATTCATTTAAAAAAAACACTTTTACTAATATAAATCATGGTTTTATAGGGAAAGAATAAGTCGTTTGCTTTTGCCATTTGCTGACCAACAGATAGAAATCCCTTCACTGACTGCTGGTAACATTGCTTTGACTGTTGGGCTTAAACATGTAAGTGACCAAACAATTTCTCTAGGAAGTGACAGGTTAAATGCTTAATTACAGGTAGGTATGTTATAAATCAAAAACCTAGAAATTGTGCAAATGTCCATCAGTAGTGGCATAACGAATATTTAGCATATTTATCAACATGGCGGAATTTCATACATTTAATAGAAAGAAAAGTAAATCAGAGAAGACCACAGACAGGATGAATTATATTCATATAAAGCTCAAATCCTAGTAAAATAATGAACTGTTTATGGCTACATATATGTTTTAAGTTTATATAAAATACTGTTATTTCCATTGGGGTTTTTTCTGTCTTGATTATTGAAGAAAATTTATTCTAGACTTATGCTGATCAGGTAATAACTAAAAACTCTCATGTCAGTGAAGGCTCCATGGGAGCAGGGGCTTTTGTCTCTGTCGTTCACTGCTCTCTCCTTAGTCCCTGGATCAGTGCTTGCGAATAGGTACTTGTAGAATGAATGGATGAAAATACTGATGCTGTGCCTATTTTCGGTGGGTTGAAACTAAGAAGGAGTTTTAATTTTTATGGATTAAGTCAAATACAGTTTTCTCATTAAACTGTGATATGTTTGGCATTTAGGATAAACATTATTTTTAACATTTTTAACTCTTCATAGTTAAGCAAATTTCAAGATCTATTAGTAGAAAACTGCCATTATCTCATTACTGAAGTTCTGGCATTGAGGTGTCTCCTCTGTCTACCTAAAGGCAGGAGCTCTTTGTATGTGTTTCAAGGAATTCTACAAATACATTTGGATTATAGCTTCAGTAGGAATTTTTATAGAGAAGGCACTGGCACAGAACTTCATGATATAAAAGTTCCAAAGTGAAATTATAGTTTTAAACATGTAACTGGGCTTTACACAGAAATCAGCAGTTCAGCACAATTAAGAGTATTCTGGTTAATTGTATATTTTAGTTAATAAAGGATTTTCTGTAAAATAGTAATAAATTCTTACTAGTGGTAAAATGCTCTAATAGGTTTCTGCCTAACCTGTCTTGTCATGATTGAAAATTTAGGAAAGTACATTTGTTTTGCCAAATGAATTTTGGATATGCATGTGTTTGTATTTTATTGTTTATTTTTTAGAATTTATGACCACAGTATTTTGGATAGAATTCTTACACAAGTTAAAATAGCTTTACTTATCAATGTTATAATGAACTTTGTGGATTTTATTTCCCTAAAGTTGTGATGAAGGGAAAGTGGCACATTAACATTGCTCTTATCTGTGGCTGTTGGTGAAGATGCGTGCCTGTCAAGAGTCTGTTTTGTCCCACCTCATTTTGTTTGTCTGCAGACTGCCACTGGAGACACCATTGTCTCATCCAAGTCCAGCGCATTAGCTGCAGCTCGCAGAGCCGAAAGGGAGGGAGAAAAGCACAGACAAAACAGTGAGGCAGAGAGACTTTTCCTGGCTGGAGTGGAGGTTCCAGATCCTGTTTTCTTCTGTACCATAGAACCCCCATCAGTGGCTAAGCAGCCAGGTATAAACAGTCTTGGCATAGCAACTAATTAGTGATCTGATAATTTATGTAAAATAGTTACACTACACCCTCAAAAGTTTCTTAAGTGATTGAGTTAAATTTTAATCTGAATTTATTGGTAAGCATTTCTTGTGTTTGTTCTAGTTCTTTATTTAAGATGTTTGGATTTTTGCGAGTGCCTTCATGTTTTTCTTTTCTTATACCTTTACCATTTTTCTCATATTATTCTTTCTTCTGTTCCTGTGGTGCTATCTATAGGCTTCTAAGTTATTGGCCTTAGACCTGCCCTTCTGTCATTTTAGATTAGACAATAACAGATTCATAACTAATTCAGTTTCTCATCATCATGTTTAAAAATGCTGTTTTACGGCCAGGCGTCTGGCTCAGCCTAGCACTTTGGGAGACCAAGGCAAGAGGATTGCCTGAACCCAGGGGTTCGAGACCAGCCTGGACAACTTGGTGAGACCTCGTCTCTACAATAAATAAAAAAATAAGCTGGGTGTGGTAGCACTCGTCTGTCGTTCCAGCTACTTGGAAGGCTGAGGTGGAAGGAAGCCCCAGAAGGTGGAGGCTGTGGTGTCCGTGAGCGTGCCACTGCACCCTGGCCTGGGCGACAGAGTGAGACTCCAACTCAAAATAAATAAATAAATAAAAATAAAAATGCTATTTTGCCTTGTTTTCTAGTTCAACCTTTAAAACTCAGTGAAGATATTTCTGTAGTCTGACTAATGTTGTTTGACTTTTTGAGAGTTATATACTTTGTTCTTTAGCTTATTTCCTGGAAATTCTTCAGTAGTTTCTTATTACTTATAGTGCACATTCAAACTCTAGTGTGGTATACAAAGTCTGTGGTTTCTAATTAGGTTTGGTGACATAGAGCAGAAAACCCCCCACATAACAATTGCTTTGATGAGACAAAAGTTTCTCTCTCGCAAAAGAAGCCTTGACTTGGCAGTCAGGGGTAAAAGCGTAGCTCCAGAGGGTAGACCCAGGCTCCAGTCTCCCTGCCCTGCTTCTCTGAGTGCTGCAAAGGTCCTAAATGGCCCCTGGAGCCTTGGGCAGCCCCTTGGAGTTCCTGACAGCAGAAGTAAGGAGGAGGAGAAAGATGCACCCTCTTCCCTCTTAAGATTCCTTGTGTCATTGGCCAGCACTGAGATATATGGCCCCCCAGTTGCAAGGGAGTCAGGTTAAAGCAACCTTTTAAGTAGGCAGCAGCAGAATAGAGTGGAAGACTGCTAGCAGTCTCTGCCACAAGCCTTCTTGCTGACCCCATTTCTTGAAACTTTCTCCTTTTGAATGCTCTTCTTTTACCCAAACAAAAATAAAACTGCAGTAACTACCCACACCTTAGGCTTCCTCAATAAAGTAGTTCTGGCTTCCTGAAGATGCCATGCCCATTTTTTTCAGTACTGTTTCTTTTCCTTGCATTATAATAGTATCCCCTCAACTTGTCTGCCTGGAAAGTGTCTATTCTTTCTTTAGGTCTCAACTCAAGCATCACCACTTTTTGAGGCTCCCACTGAATTAGCCTTTTATCTTCTTGAAAGCATAGAGGGTGCCAAAAAAACTTTATAGCCGGGCTTGGTGGCTCAGCCTGTAATCCCACACTTTGGGAGGGGGCGAGTGGATTGCCTGAGCCCGCGGGTTCGAGACCCGCCTGGGCAACTTGGCCAGACCTCATCTCTACAATAAATGAAAAAATCAGCCGGGCGTAGAAGCGTGCCTATAGTTCCGGCTACTCGGAAGGCTGAGGCGGAAGGATCGCCAGAGCCCAGCAGTCGAGGCTGCGGTGGCTGGGAACGGCCGCCGCACTTCAGTCTGGGTGACAGAGGGAGACTCCAACTCAAAAAAACAAACAACAACAAAAAAAACTTTATACACATTTTCAGAAGGATGCCTTTTAAGATGCATCACATGCTTGTTCCGCTGACTCCCATCTTGCGCGCACGTTGTGGAGTAGACTTCTGTGGTGAGCGTGTAAACTGTCCCAACATGGAAGCAGAAGCAGCAGGACTTGTTGCTGTGCAAGGCCTCTCAGATCTCCCCTTGTGCACATCACACACAGGGCCGGCATCTCAGACTTACCACAGAGGCGTGCAGTTGTCAGGCAGATGGGCAGCTCTGTTGCGTACTCATGCCTCCGTTGTTGTACTTCCGCAGTGTTCCCAAATTTCCTGTCCCACTTCAAAATGGTCTTGTGCTCCCCAGTGACAACTGTGCTTCCTCCATTTTCTTTGACCGTCCTGCCTGTTGCTTGATGACGCCAGCATTTATTTGATTCATGTCTTCCTTGATGAATGTCATACTACATGACAGACCCAAGAAATTAAAAAAACAAACAAACTATACTTGCTGGAAAAGAAGCGTTCATTGCATTTTACATATTCCTACCTCACATTCACTATATTTTATAAATTCTTAGTATTTTAAATCCTACCTCAGACCCCATAGAACTAGGTACATGTCGGGTGCCAGGTAGTAACTGACTGTATAGTTATACAATGTTTTAAGCAGTGTTTGTACTTAGAACTTTGTTAAGCTTTTG